AGTCTATAGTGAGTAGTGTTCCAGCCGATCATCTGACCTGAGATTTCTTCTAAGAGCATTTTAGGAGTCGTACAGCAGTTTCAGGACCTAGTACAGGGAGATATAATAATATTTAAGTATGACATCGAGTTCTTGAAGTTGCTGAAGTATGATTCCAATTTGGTACCTACCGAGAGGGATATGTGCTGAAAGTTTGCCCAAGGACTCATATACAAGCTGCGTTGTCAGGTGGTTACTCATCACGATAAGGTGTTCGATGTTGTAGTAGAGAGAGCAAAAGATGCTGAGGAAGTCGATGCTTCTGCACCTGATAGAGATAAGGCAGATGTAGAGTGATCTAGGAGATGTTTTGGTCAGTCTGAGTCATATGCATGCCCTGATAAGAGGACTCGTACTACTGCCCATCAGAGAATCCATACTATTTGAGGTCTGCATCACCTCCACCTCCATCAGTTAGTCGAGGCGATTCATCAGGTTTCTCCCTGATACCAAGTTGCGAGTACTGTGGGAATCGACACAGGGGAGAGTGTCGTAAGAAGATGGGTATCTGTTATCATTTTGGATCCAATGAGCACTTTCTAAGAAATTGTCTGCATTCAACTTCAATCAATCGGACCCCCGCTGAAACTCTTTCACTATCATAGTCTTCTGTTCAGACTCCCGTTGGGAGTCACAATCAGGGTAGAACTTTTATATCTGTTTCTAGGGTCAACAGTAGAGCTCGATCGCAGAGTAGAGAACCAACTGCTTTTGAGGCTCGGTAACCTGCCATTGTCTATGATATCCGACGTTATGGTGATCGAGTTGAGCTAGGACTTCTGCAGGTATATTTGTTATTATTTCCATTTCTTACATACATTTCTAACAAGGTTTTTTCTATATTCGAGTTTCGTATCTTAAGACCCTTGGATTATTGATTTAAGGCATCGAGATCACCATTTTTATTCCGAACCTAGTGAGTTTTTCCCGTTATTGTAAATAGCGTGATTAGCCTTTCTCATCTGAAGGAACTATTAGAGATCTAGGTTATGTTTCCTGTTTGACTCTGGTGAATTTTGAGGACGACCTTTCCTTTTCCAGGTATTTAAATTCCTATTTCAGTTTTAATTTATTCATTTTCTTTCGCTTTAAGTTTTATTTTAATTTTCATATCAGCGGAGAAGACACTGAGGAAGAAGAAAATGAATGCGAAGAAGAAGTGATTGATTCGGACGATAATGATCGGACCGAGGATGACTAATCTTTCTTCAATTTTAGTCATCGATATTCTTAAAGTTTATTTACCTCTTATAGGAATTAAGGTTTTTATTTTGAAAATAAAAGGTTGAATTTGATCTCAAAAAAATTGCTTTTAAACTATGATCTTTTTGTTCCATAGAACGAGGTGACTTAGAAAGCTTAATCTTGAAAACATTCAAAGCTTATTTGTGAAAACATGGCCTCTAAATCACAGGCACCAAGGCAGTGTGTTAACAGAGAACTCTTGAGCATTGGACGTAATTTCTTCACAATTTTTATTTACCATTTTTTTGAGATTGCATTTGATATTTGGTTTCTACGTTGCTATAAGTCTATTAAAACTTTTTGAAAAGTTAGTAGGTTTTAACACATTTTCCCCTCAGAATAAAAGATGAGAAAGCTAAAGCCTTATATCCCAGGCCATCCTTTTATATCAACTGTAATGGTAAATTGCCTCTCTTTTTTTCCCATTTGAATTATCATTTTGGTGAATTGAGTCAATAATTTGTTATTGTTATCACTTAATAATGCATGTGATGCTTGTAAATGAGAAATTGTTTTGTTTACTTAGGAGGTCTATAAGAAGTAATTCCTTACCTGAGATAACATTGCAGTATCTTTCATTGCAGACACTCTGTATCTTATCTATTTCTCATCTTACATTTCCATGCCATTTTTAGGGCTATGTAAATCGAGGTTTGGATTTTAAAACATGTTCCATAAAATAACAAGTATGAGAGGCTTATGGGGAAGAGAACTGTTACAGGAAGGGTTGTTAAGGAAAGATATGGAAAAGCCAAACAACAACATACTTTTATGGTACTTCCAACACTTTATCTTTTGGTAGGAATTTGAGTAATTGCAATAAATGATAAATGGATCCATCCATCCATCCATTTTCTGCAATTTTCTTTTCAGTGAGTTGTTTTCACACTTGATGAATATCTTCCACTTCCATGCTTTTTCTAATGAATTAGGTTGAAGTATTATGGAGCAAGGGAACTAAGAAATTATCCCCATTATTTCCTTTGCTTGTAAAGGGTCGTAACTTTCACAAATTGAGAACTTACAGATAGAAAATGATTTGCCTATTTGGTTGGGAAGCAACATTTTCGGGTAAACAAATGATAAACTTGATTTGTTTATATATATATATATCATAACTATTTTTTTGTAAAACAATTAAATATTATTTTAAAAACGGTTATGGCTTTAATTTTGAAAAATTGGTCGGTTTTGAATTGATTTGGAATAAATTGGATAGAGTAGCCATCGACCTTTGGGTTAGATAGGTCGAATACCTAAAAACGTCTTTTAAAAACAATTGTAAGAAAAATCATTTTTAAGAGAAAAAGCTGGTCTGCGTTTACAAATATTTTATTCAAACGGGTTCGGGAGTCGGTTACGCGTGAGGAAGGATTAGCACCCCCACAGCGCCCAAAATTGGTACTGTTCCGCTTACACTTTGTCATAGTTGTGGAAATGATGAATCGAATATATAGTTAAAATATGATCCCTTTATTGAAATGTAATTAATTTGTTTCGAATTAGCTATTTAAAGAAAATCATTTTATGCGATAAGAAATCTTAAAATTCGCAATCCTCCGTTGGGAAAGCTATTTCAACTATTTTTTATTTGTAAAAGAATATTCCACACTCATTGATTTTTTTAAAAACACAAATAGAATAGAAATTGAATATCACCATAAAATAAAATGGCTAATTATAAATACCCCTTTACGTTGTCCAACTTAAAATAAAATGAATTAATAATTAACAAAATGAAATCGATTTATTTCAAGTTCACATTTTGTTCAAATGTCGTATCGGATTGTACCACTTCGATCAAGTGATACTTTTCACGCCCATTCTACAAATACCGTTCTCGAAACTATTTGAATAACATTAATAGTTAAGGAAATGAAAACAAATGCGATTGGAGACATATGAAATACAATATTTATAATAAATAGAGTTAAGCATATTTATTTATATATGATACAAATGAATACGTAACATAAAAATATGCAAATACATAAGGAATTGAAATAAATACAAATGAATATTACAACCCAAAATATAATGATCAAAAAGTAAGTATTTATAATTACAAGGACCAGAATGGGAAAAACAAAAACTTAAAGGATCAAAATAGTACAAATAGAAATTTAAAGATCTAAAATAGAAAAATAGAAGCTTAAGGGACTAAAATAGAAATAACAAAAAGTTAAAGGGTTAAACTAAAAATATAAACAAATCAAAACCCCAATAATCAAATTAAAATAAATACAGGGACAAAAAACAAAAATAACCCACAAATAACGTTTTTAGGATAAAATAAAATAAAAAGAAACATGGAAGACTAAACAATAATTAATCCTAAATGCCAAACAATGACTAAAATAAAATATTTACAAATATCAGGGCAAAATTCAAACATCAATGAAAATATACAACAAATGCTACCAGTAACTAAAATGAAATAACTAAAAACATTGTGAGCAGAGTGAAATATTCACAATAATATCATAACATATGATAACAGGACTAAAACATAAATATTAAAAAAAATGCTCGAAATCAAAGAAAGTATAACTTCATTAAATAGCTTCACAATGAGAATACAAAATAGGGGGACTTAAGTGGCTATTATCCCCAGAAATATGAAAAACACGGGTGATATATCAAAATGACAATGACTAAAACGGCTATTTATGCTTTAGCAATCAAAACACGAAATTAGGACGACGAAACTACATCGTTTGAAGCCTTGGATATAAGGCTAACCAAAAGCCTTAACTCAACCCACTTCCTCGTTTTTTTTCTCTTCTCAAAAAACAGAGAGAGGGAGAGAGTTTCAAACTATCTCAACTCTTTCCTCGGGGAGGAGAAAAGTCCCAGCGGTTGGAGAAGGCCAACCAACCCCAAACGGTTCCCCTTCTCACCCTCATCCCATCTCCTTACCTCATTTAGCGTAAAACTCACCCAATCCTCATAGATCTAAGGTTTACCTATCGGGAAACGACGGCTCCGGCGACCTTAGGGATTCTAACCTTTCGAACTCAGGTAAAATCTCTATCTCCCTTCCTCTCTTTGCTTTTCTTTCTTGGTTTTTTGTATCTCTCTAGATACTTTTGCTTTTGGGGTTTGAAACTCTCTTGTGTTTTTTCTTTTTCCTCTTGTTTTTTTTTTAATTTTCTGGAAACTCTCCCTAACCGAATGCCTCTTCTTCCCCCTGAATCTATCACTTTTTATCTTCTCTGCTTTTGTTGATTTTTATTGATGCCTTTGATCTCTGTTGATGGATTTACTGATTGATAGCCTTGGATTTTCTTTTGATTTGTTTTACATTGTTTAATGAGTTTATTGATGGACTGCTCTGACTTTCGGTCACTGTAGATGATAGCGGTGGTGTCAGAGGTGATCGGAGCTGGCAGCAACAAAGGATGACAGCGTCAGAAGCCAATATAGGGTTTTAGAAACCCTAGGGTGGATCGGGTTGGGTTAGTTGAACTGGGTCGGATCCTGGGCCGGTTGGGTCGGGTAGAGTGTTGAGATGTTGGGTCATTTGGTTCCAGTTGTTTGGGCTGCTGGTTAGCCTTTGTTGGGCCCTGGGTTAAGCTTGTAATTGGGCCCGGGTTTAGGCATACAAAAATGTAAAAATGATAATTAATAATAATAATAGATTAATAATATTTTTGTAGACCGGACAAAAACGGGTGTCTACAATATATATATTTGTCTATATCAGCGCTGGAGTGATGGCTGAAAGAAGAAATGTTCTTGCCGAGAAGCACAGACGAGGCGAAGCTGTAAGACTGGTAAGAGCAACAATGAAAGGAAGGAGGAAGCAGTCTGCAGATGTTGGCACGTGGGGGAGCGAACCGGTGACAGCAAACTATGTTTCTGTGAATTCCATTTCTCTTGACTATGTAGCTACTGGAATTTTAAATCACATGATACTTCTTTTATGATTAGGTACAAAACTCCAAAATCATTCACATCAATCAAGACCATCGAAAAAGAGAAAAACAACTGAACCTGAGAGCAGAATGATTGGTAAGACAAAAGGAAAAGCTTCTATGCAAAGGTTTGGGAATGCGGGTAACAATTACCGAGTTCCTTCTTCAATTGGACAAGTGAAAAAGAAGCAAAAATCAAGGTTAAGAGTCTCTAATACTTCTAGTCATGGAAACCCTGGTCATTTCACTGTAGGGATGAGTTCCATTCATCATTCCAATGATGGTCCCGTTCTAAATTCTTATCAACCTCATCGGCACTTTCACCACCGAAGTGTACCTCACCAGTTTACCGGCTATGATATTGGAACCACTTCAACAATGGTAAGATCACTGCCTTCCAGACGTTATATAGATCCGTGGACAATGCCTATACAATACTAGGGATTCAACAATCACGATTACACCTACCATCCCAACTCAAATCCTGGCCTTTTCAATAGATGAAGGAATTTGATCCAATCTCCTCATGTGTTGAATGTTGACAGTTTCTTATAAAGTCACCTTCCGCTGTAAAGGCATGTAATGGATGGAAAAAAACAGTTTCACTCTGTTTTCATTAGGATGAAACAATGCAGGAGCAAGATCCACAAGTTATCTTCTTCGTATGGAAACTATATAACTAGAAAACGAAACTTGTGTGTTCTTTCATAAAATGAAATGGAAATGCAGTTGAAAATGCAATTATTTGATATGTTGTGTTCACTTTTGGTACTCTTGACGGTGGGAGTCAAGGGCCACAATTTGTTTCTTTTGATATTTTACAGTGTAGTGTAGAGTTTGTGGATTTGCCAGACGGACAATTGGGTCTTATTAATGCCAAAGATTAAGCATTGATAGCCATTGCTGATAATGACAAGCTGATGGTTACACTATATATGCATGTTGTGTTTCGTTTATTTTGTAATATTATTTGTCTTGGAGCAATTACGAAAATATTATTTTTATGCATTTATACATTGTTAGTTAGATTTCGATACAAATATATGTAAAAGAGTTAACATATGAGGTACTATAATTATATTATTAAATTAAAATTTAATTTAATCTAATTTTATGGTGTTAAATTGAATAAATTAATATTTTATTTATCTTGATAAGAATATGTAAAATGAAATAAAAAGTTTAATAAAACAGATCGAATCCTTTCGAAGTTGAATTTTTAAGCTGAATTCAAAGTGAGTAAAAGTATTTTTAAACTCTAATAAAATCGATATGAAATTTTATTAATTATATCGTTAGGTCGACTAAAAGTCCACCCATTATCATCTCTAGATCGGCCCAAATAATCGAAAAATGGGCTCAACCGTAGTATTACTATAACGAGACCTACATGAATATAATAATGGGCAAATAGAGATGAGGCTCAAATATTTGTGCCTCCATTAAGTCCAATTCACCACCAGCAACCACCCGGGCTTTTCCTCTTCAATTTCAACAAATTTCACAGCTTAATTTTGCTATTTTGATCTTCATTTCCCCGTATTTCTTTTTCAGAGGGATGGACTCTCTTTTCGCATAGAGAACAAGAGGTAAACAGATTAACTATAAATTTGCCTTCAATTCTCAACTTGCATTTCAGATCGGATCCAGGTCTCCGCTGTCATCCCCATTCTAATTCTCATTTCCTGATCCTGGATTTTGACTGCTTAGTTGCTTTCTTTTTTAAAGAGTTGAACTTTAGTTTGGTACCGATATATAGATTTTTTTTATTTAAAATTTGTTCATAAGGTGTGAGAGAGATAAGATATTTGAAAAGAAGGATCGATGGAGTGGACGACGTTACAACACTTGGATCTACGCCATGTGGCTAGAGGTATTCTCAAACCGTTGCAGCCGCACGCTGCAGCTTTTCATCCTACTCAGGCTCTCGTTTCCGCTGCCATCGGCACTTACATAATCGGTAATGCCGGCTACGGCACAACCTTTTTCATTTTTTCTTAAATTTGGATATGTTAATTTTTTTTAAAAACTCTGAAGTTAAATCTGCTTAAAAAGAACAAAAATCATTTTGGATCTTTTTTGGTCGCAGAATTTGATGCTTTAACTGGAAGTAAGTTAGCTACTATAGACATGGGTTCGCCGGTGGTTCGGATGGCTTATAGTCCTACAAGTGGCCACTCTGTCATTGCCATTCTTGAGGTTGGTTCCATAATTTTAATGTTAGCTACTTAGCTTAGATCATTACCTCAAAATGGGGGGGGGGTTGCATTCGATTATCATGAGAATAGAATTACTTCATATTAAGATTGGTATTAATACAATCATTAAACCAGTTGGCGGAAATGGTAGTGCATGCTAAGATTTGTATTAGTTAAATCTTAAGACTTTTATTTCCATTACATGGGTCTCTTTTTGAGTAATCCTGTATGAGGAAATAGTTTGAATTTTACATTTTTTTCTTAAGAATGAAGAGGCATTTTAAGGTAGGATGTGCTCTTTCAGTGTGTGGTATTGATTTTTTTTTATTAATCTGGGTAAATACAAGGCAATATTAGTTCAAAGATAACTCTCAACCATTTGACATTGAATGCTCACACCCCTAGCATTAATGGTATTGATCTTTCATATAGCTGATTAAGAGTAATTTTATTTTGTATGTTAAGATGGTTTAGAACCTATCCATGCTAGTGGTGTATACCAGGGTTCATATTTTCATGCGGTTGTTCCTAAGTTCGAGAAAGTGATTCCAAACAGACAATATAGATATATTGATTGTTGTCCTATGTATTGGAAAGCAAGCATGTTGTTTTTGTTTCATTATTCTAAGATAATAATTAAGATCCCATTGGCTTATTCCTGGTGTTTTCCTCAAGGTCATTGCAACAATTGGCTGTACCCCTTTTATTTACTTAAGCATTAGACTACATTTTGAAGATGAAATATTCACATCCTCTGATATTTGGATTTAATGCAGTAATGAGTATGGTTGTTGTCTTTAAGCTCCTTTAATTTTTACATGAAAGGGTCAATTCTATTTTTTCTCCTTATAGTTCCCTTATGCTAATTGTAACCTTTATTTTTCTGAAAATGTCACATGGCAGGATTGTACAATACGTTCTTGTGACTTTGACACCGAGCAAACTTGTGTTTTACATTCGCCAGAAAAGAAGACGGAACACATTTCATCTGAAACAGAAGTTCATCTTGCTTTGACACCTCTCCAACCTGTTGTATTTTTTGGTTTTCACAAGAGAATGAGTGTGACAGGTTAGTTTACTCCATCTGTAAACTGGTAGAATTTTTTTGTACTTGCATCATTATATTATACAATGGGAGCTTAATGATGTTTCTAATATTTTTACTGTCACACATGAAGTTGTTGGGACTGTTGAAGGTGGAAGAGCACCTACAAAAATAAAGACAGACTTGAAGAAACCTGTTGTGAATCTTGCCTGTCATCCTCGGCTTCCTGTTCTGGTACATCTGCCATTTTCCAGTAATAGGTTTTATTGTTATCATATTTATTATCTTTTGTTGTTTTCTGATATGGTTGTAAATTAATTTCTTTGTTCGAGATATTTATGTTTGTTGGATCTAATTCCAAGTGGCTAATAATTGTAAGAAGTTCCAGTGCTTAGGAATTTTCTAGGATAGGCATGAAACTTGAAATTTGAATCTGTTCTTGTTTTTTGGCTTCACCATTTAAAATGCATGAGATACATAATGTAGTAGTGAAGCGGTGATGCTGAGCATGTTTGTTTCGTTTAATTTTGGTAGATTTTTTTTTTTTTAAATTTTGGCAGACTGACTGTTGAAATGGATCTTTTCTTGGCTTGAACTGAATTCCCAAAAAATTAGTTAATTCTTCTGTGCTATCATCTTCTGTTATGGCATATCCAACTATCTAGATAGTGGTTAATGCAATCTGATCTATTGATATCTCTTATGCTTATAAAGCTTTTTGTTTTCTGGGTCCTATCACTTCCTTTTTGGAAAACAAAAGTATGTAGCATATGCAGAAGGTTTGATTCGAGCGTACAACATTCATACATATGCTGTTCTTTATACGCTACAACGTAAGTCAAGGAAAATTGATTATTTACTTTTTTTATATTTTATTATATCAGTCATGCTTAATAATCATACTGCTTTCCGTTTTGTTTCCTTCAGTTGATAATACCATTAAGCTTGTTGGTGCCGGTGCGTTTGCTTTTCATCCATCCCTGGAATGGGTTTTTGTCGGTGATAGACGCGGTACACTTCTTGCCTGGGATGTATCAACAGAAAGACCTATTATGATAGGAATGTAAGCTTTTTCCTTTTTCTTTTCCTTTTCATCACTTTTTCCCTTCTTATTTTTCAAGCCTGTATTGTGTGTTGATATTAGTAGAAGAAGGCACTTTGTTGAAATATTCTGTTTCTGTCATGTAGTACACAGGTGGGTTCTCAGCCTATCACATCAATTGCTTGGCTTTCAATGTTGCGTTTACTCGTCATTCTTTCGAAGGATGGGACTTTACAAGTTTGGAAAACACGATTGGCAGTTAATCCAAATAAACCTCCGACTCAAGTTAACTTTTTTGAGCCTGCTTGTAAGTACTACCACAAACGCTCTAGCAAGGAAGGAGGCCAAGATGCATGCATATTTATCGTTATGGAAATCACATACTCAAGACTTTGTGGTGTCTTCTTTGCAGCAATTGAATCACTGGACATCCCACGCATTCTGTCTCAGCAGGCTGGGGAAGCAGTTTATCCCTTGCCACGTATCAAAGCTTTGGAAGTTCACCCAAAATTAAACTTAGCAGCTCTTCTTTTTGCAGTTAAGATTGTTCACCTATGTCGTTGCATTATAAATTAGGTAAACTATGTTTAGTATTTAAACTATCAGTTTTGGTTCGTTTTAGTACCTAAACTTTCAATTTTTTCAAAATCATACCTAAAGTTTAGCTTTTGTTTGATTTTAGTACTCTGCCGTTAAAAACCTTAGTTTTTGTTTCATTTTAGTACCCTCGTTCAAAATTTAACGTTAATTTTTTTTTTAAAAATTGAAAGTTTGGTTACTGAAACGGACCAAAACTGATAGTTTAGGTACTAAATGTGTTAAATTTTTAACAGAGAGTTACTAAAATGAAATAAAAACTAAAGGTTAGGTTTGGTTTTGAAAAAATTGAAAGTTTAGATACTAAAATAGACCAAAACTGATAGTTTAGGTATTAAATGTGTAGTTTACCCTAGAAATTATTTGTTAAGTTCTGATGTACAAATATGCATTTTCTATGATAGAATATGAGTGGTGGTGACAACTTGAAGAACAGGGCTGCTTACACTAGGGAAGGAAGGAAACAGCTCTTTGCAGTTTTGCAAAGCGCAAGGGGATCTTCAGGTGGACGTTTCATTGATCATCTGTTTATATGTCCGTTGTTGCATATGAAGAAATAATATGTTCTAAAATAATTTATGACTGTCTAATACTCTAATTTCTTAATATAGTTGGATGTATAGTGTGAAGGACCTTAAGGTATATTATAGGAACATTTTCTTTCAATATAGGATGATGTGATTTCTTTCTGGGCACAATCTTGTGCGAAGTTATCCTCATTGAGGCGATCGAAGCAACAGAATGTTTTTTTTGGGCACTACTTTTACAGAATCTGTGTTCATCTTAACTTCATTCTTGAGAAAATCACTCAGTTTTATGTTGAAATGTTGTGTACATTTGCTTTCTCGCTAGAAATAAGTACAGCTTTCTATGCCTTTCCGTGTTTCTCTCTGCATTATGTTATATTTTTCTGTAAATCACTATGAATATTCTTTGCTGTGATATCCTATATTACCTGGACTCTTAATTTTTCCTCAAGTATCCATGTGAGGCACATATACGATA